TGTTCTTCCTTTGAAGAAGTAACAGCTTGGGGTTTGAAGAAGTAGTGACAATAAATTTCTTACAGTATACAGCAAGGCAAACAGCCCTTACATAGCTAGTTCCTCCAGTGCTGAAGCCGATCTGGTTGTGATGGGGAGATACTTAGGAGGAAGCTGTGGCATGCTGGGAAAATCTTTTTGTTTGGGTCAGATAGATCTGGGCTGCAATCACAGCTCTGTCACTTTCTATATGACCTCAGGCTAACTACTTCATCTCTCTAAATTTAACATTCTTTACCTATAAACAAGGAAATGAATGCTTTATAAGATTGCAGCAAAGATTTGAAATAAATTTATAAATAGGCACCTGGAAAGATCTACTGGTTTTCTTGTGTTTGGTACATGGTGGGGTATTTGTTAAATGGATATAGTAAGTGTTTAACCCATGGTAACCATAATGGTTGTCATTGTTATGAGGTGCTTCTTGGTCCAAAAGGAAACCAAGAAAAATTTTAATAAGTTATGGTCCTCAGTCTGCAAAAGCATATATGTATATAAAATATTGTACAAAGAATAAACAAAATCCAGAGTTTCAAATCAGTGCCACAATGTTGTTGCTGAAGTACATATTATGACTTTGTTATAAACTTGATATAGTCAATGTATTTGTTGAAAGACATCTCGGTGTGTCTCACCACCAACTGTTTCCCTGTGGGCCAAACAGGGGAGGAAAAAGACTTGATGACACCTATAAAAACAGATCTGGGACAAGATTGGAGCATTAACATATGTGGTGAGAATAGATCTATTCATTACTCTGTAAATCCCCTTAATTCATGATCTCAATTATTAGGTACAAAAAGATTAACTCTCCTTCTTCTAGACATGATGAGAATTTGGAAAACCGATTTCATATCTGAAATTGTGGTGTTACCTTTTGCCTTCAGTTATAGAAAGGAGAAAAAAGAATTTTATATTTTTTACTATTAAAATTCTAGGCAAAGTTGGAAGACACAAATGACTAGGTGGGATAAGAGATATATTTAATTAGAATTTGTCACATTGGGGAGTACAAAGTGTCGTCATAAAAGGAATCAAACAAAAACATAGCTTGAGACCTCCTGCCTTTGCCACCTCTGTTTCTTTACCTTCTGTTGCAGGTTTTCCTGAAGGTTATTGACCTTTCTCTCAATACCTGATCTTGGAGGGGAGAATCTGTTTCATCACTGCATTATGGTAAATATTACACATTGCCAACTCTGTAAAGCATTTGGTATAGTCCTAGTGAGTGCTCAACAAACATAAGTTGTTAGATATAAATATATTTGCCTTTCTGAAAGAGGCTCCAGAAATGACATCTATCAATAAAATAAATGATTTTATCTTTAGCAAAATAAATGATTTTCAAGGAAGTTGCCAATCCTGGAGTAAAAAGTCATTTTTACTCTGTAAGCTTTACAACTCTCAGAATGTCCTGTCCCCAGTTAAGAACTAGCTCCTGGCCTCACCTGAACCTCATCTTTCAGAAGTTAACAATGTCTCCAGTGATGGAAATACTCCAGCCTAAATATGGAGATCCAGAACTTCAAATTTGATGGGACTGCTTATCAACAGTGACTGAAGATTCCTTTTTTTAAAAAGGAGTAAACTCTAGTTCTTAGCTAGAATGTGTACTTTCGATTCCAGTTCATGTGTATTTTCATAGATGTGGCTTAGATGGGAAATGAAACCACGTATTTCTTTTTAAATTTTGTTTTGTTTTGTTTTAAACTAGTATTTTTTTATCCTCTCTTGGGGGGCGGTACAGGGGTACTCAGGGCTTATGCTGGCTAGGCAGCGCTCTACCACTTGTGCTACTTGCCAGCCCTCATATTTCTAAATTTAAAGGAAAAGTCCATTTCCTTGATGACATAAAGCCTCTTTTCAGAATGTGCTTGTTCCACCAGCAAATTCTGTTGGCATTTCCTGTTAAATTTACATAAGTATCCAGCCACCTTTATCTCTCCACAATATTGGGAGCTGATTTTGGCTCTTCCTCAACACTTTCTTCCAGATCAGACTCCTGAGGCCCCATCCCTCTTTCTTGAAGAGCCTGGCTGTTCCCCTTCTCTCCTCTTCCTAACTCCTTCCGTCCCCTTTCTCTATGTCAATACTACCTAAAACACTTTTGTCATGAGTCCACTGACATTTTTTGCACTGCCACTGTGTGATCCTTCATCCTCTATGAGCATTCTTCTCATGACATGCTGCTCTTGATTTTGTCATTTTCTATAAAGAAATGTGTCATTTCAAAGTACATTTTTTATTAACAGCAGTCATATTAAAATGTAGTTAAACAAATTCTACAAAGATGACTCATTTACCTTTTGCTAGTAGAGTCCATCAGACTAATCTTTTGGTAGGATACTTGATTTGACTTATAGAAATAATAAAGCATTGCATAGTTGAAAATTACTACAAGAGTAGATTTTAAGTGTTCTCAACACAAAAAATAAGCATGTGAAGTGTAATGCATAGGATAATTAGCTTGATTAACCTTTCCACCAGGTGTACATATCTCAAAACATCATGCTAGACACCATAAATATATAGAATCTTTAGTTTTCAATTTAAAAATGATTTTAAAAAAAGAATAATCTAAGTAATGTACTCTTTGAAATAGGTTGATTCCTTAGAAGTTGTTTGGAGTTCACTCACTGTGCATTTCCTTTTTTTTTTTTTGGTTTCTAATTAGTTCTGCAAGCATTTGCCTACAGTTTCTATGTGCTGAGCTGGGTTTAGTTAAACAGCAGTGCATAGCAGCACAGTAGTGATCCTAGCCCCATATTTCTAACTAGGGAAGTCAGGAGAAGGCAGTCAGGAAGCAAGTGCCAAACAGATCTATCTGTATTTCTAATCTGAACTACATGCTGTACAGGGGACTGCAGGAGGGACCTACTGCAAGGGGCAGGAGTGGAAAGTATTACAGGCAGACAAGTTGCAAGTATATGCAAGCAACTGAGAGAAAACCACATGGTGACACAGTGAGCAAAGGGTCCAGTGACAAGAAGCAAGGTCACAGGTAGGTGGGGGCCAGGCTGTCCAAAACTTTGCAAGAGTTTGTATTCTACCCCAGGTGCTAAAAGAGGTGCTGAAAGGCAGAGCAGAGGACATCCCCCTTGTTTATGTTTTAGAAATCCTTTGACAACCTGAATGAAGGACTGATTGCAAGGGTTCAACAGAAGGAACCTAATGTCCAGTTAGGAAGCAGTTGTCTTTAGAAGAAGTTTTTTCCAATTTTATTGAAAATAAGAGATAGAAACTTCTTGTCAAAATATGTCCAGTCATTGGAGGAGCAGGGGCTTGTTCAAATTACCGATTACTGTCTGGCATTACATTGTTTATTTATTTATATGCTTGTTTTGTTGTCTGTCTCTCTTACTGAAAAGTGCATTTAGTTAGTAATGGTAGGGGCTGTGCCTCATTCACTCTTGTATCCCCAGTACCTAGAACCATGTGTGCCACATGGATTCTCAATAAATAATTGCTGAAAGAATGGACAAAGAGACAAAAGGACTGCTTGACTTGAATACAAGCACACACTGGTGCAAACAAGCACCCACTTCTAAGAAGCCTGTAATGGTCTTGGGCCACAGATATTTTTGTCCATGTGAGCTTTTTGTGTCCTATTCTCTCAAGTCATTTTGAACTTGTGCAAACTTGGACCTGAATTCCTCCAATGCTGTTGGGATGTATGCCCTCTCAAAATAACACTAATTAGTTTCTAGGCAATAGACTTGAGAGGAACCGATGATTACTATTTTCCTTTCCACAGGAAAGAAAGAAAATGGCCTTTCATGAAAGCCCCAAATGTGCTATTACCCCCAACAATCGATGGTAATTTGGAATGTCCTCTTTTACACGGGTTACCCCAAGCTCATTAAAGCCCAGAAATGGGCCTATCAAACTCTCAGCTCAGCCATCTCCCAGAGAGAGAAATAATCCCAGGTCAGAGTCTTTCTTATCCTATCAGTTCACTTGGAAAAGCACAAATCCAGTTTGATTCATGTCCAGACAAAGAGACCAAGAGGGATTCCACAGTTCTCTCTCTGATCTGCAATTCTCTCCTCCTCCTTGATTGCATTTGAAATCTCGTTCACAAAGAGATTTAAAAATTGAAGAAAGCTAGTCATGTAACTCTTTGCCTGACATATTTCAGTGCGAATGACTTCCAATTAAAATGCAATCATTCTATCACCAGGTTTAAAGGACTGATACAGATATGGTTAGAGTTCTGTGACAGGATACTGGTAAAGAACAGTAGGGCATTGTGTAGTCACCACAGCAATGTGGCAGAAAAGAAGTACTGAAGGTTGAGGCTGCTGGCAAACTTCTCCATTGTGCTTAAGGCCAGCCCTGTTTATCTTCAGCTGGATGGAGACTAATGCAAACCGTGCACCTGGTGTTTGTGTTCTGCAGTGGCAAACCCAGGAGCTTGGTCTCATACGATTTATGACAATGTGCTGCCTTTTAATGTGAGCTTGAGTCCACACCAAGGAGGATTTTCCCCTGAAGTTTAATTAATGAAGTTTATACTGTGGTCTTAAGAGGAAGTCAGATGTGACATTTAATTATTTACAACCGAACATGTAGAACATGTGCCTCATCTACACAGCTGATGATCTAATTAGAAGTTACTAGAGAGGGTTTGCAAAAATTTCAAATATTAAAAAGGAAAATTCCCCCCAAATTGCTCACAAATGTGAGGAATTAGTCAGCATCCGTGGAGTTTGCTGAAACTTACAGGCAGCCAATAATTTTGTTGTGATTGATTAGTTGCGAACTGAAAACTAGCTTCTCTTCTTAGTGCCACTTTTTTCGACATTTTTAATGAAGTGGTAAATTTGTGGCTGTATCAGAAAAGCTCACTGGCAGCATATTAGAATTTATAATCCCAGCCAACATAAATTATTACCTCATTTTTAGGTTACTGCACCTGTATTATGTACATACATTAGTAGAGACATTATTTATGCAAATACCTTTGCAGACACCTGCATGCTGTTTTCTTGCATGTTCATAATGGCTTCAGAAATCTTGACATCTATGGGGTCCATGACCGACTCAATGTTGAATGGCCCTTCCAGTCTCTCTGCCACCAAGAGCATCGCATCTGTTAAAACACCGGGACATGATTCATTTGAGAAGAGGGAGATCAGGTTCTTAATCCACATTAAACATTTCGAGACAGCTCACTGAACAATAATTGTTCACTTGCATTTCTTAAATTTTATACATAGAAATAGAATCTTTGTAAATCTTAAATCACAGTATATTTTATTTCATTTGAAGATTCAAGATTATTTTACATGTGTGAAACCAGGCCTGAAAATAAGAAAATTATTCCAAATGCAAAGAGACAAATACATTTTGAAAATGGGGTTTGACCTCTCCTCTTTTCTGGGAAAAATGAGAATATTGGAGAAGTGCTGACTAGTGAATTTGGATACAGAACTACCAAGACGCAATTCAAGTCTATCTAACCTGTGTGAAGCATTTCTGGATTTCCTAGGGACAGATGTGTCCCTACTTTGTGCTATCCCTGTACCCAGCATGCCCTTCTGGTTTTGATCTTTAACACCTCTTGGAGGGGATAAGAGGAGCTTCACTTAATTGGTTTGGTATATTTAAGCCCTATTCTGATATACATCACATTGTAAACTCTCAAAAAATGTCTGTGAAATTATATTGAACTGAATTGTTCTGATATTGTTTGAGAAATGTGAGTCTTCTGGAGATAATGGTAACAGTGAAATAGAGACAAGAGCTATGGATTAGTCCTTGCTCCATTCTAACTAGCTGGATGGCTCTGGAGAAATCTCTGGGCTTACTGGGCCTCAGGTTAGTGAGGTTTGGTGACAAGGAGTCTCTCAGAGTCTATGGCAAGCGGTAGGTGTCCATTCCAATGCCAGAAACACTGGCCAGTTCCTTTGGTAACCAGAACATAATTTCATGATTTACTTTTCATCTGGCCTATGGAACAGGACTTTTTGTGATAATGAAAATGTCATGATGCAAGAAGGTCTACATTTAACATGACTAAAGAATTGAATTAATTAATTATTAAATATAATTAAAAGTCACCACTTGAGGCCACTAACTACCATATTAAGCAGCATAGTCTAGGCTTTTAACCTATAGGCCCAATAGATCTCAAATTCTTCATTTGATAAAACTCTTTAAAGCAATCTCAAACATTTTCCTTTTTTCCCCAAATAATACACATTTATTATCTAATGCTCACAAAATGCAGAAAAGAAAAACAAAGAGGAGAAGAGGAGAACTACACCATAATTCCACTTCCCAGAGTAACACTGTAAACAGCGTGGTGTACGCCCTGTGGGTTTTTTCCCTCTGTGCATAAATATTTTAAGCATGCAACGAAATATGTTACATATATATCATATAGTCTGCTTTCTAAATGTAATATATTATTAATGCAAAATACTGTTTATAGTTAGTTATTTTGCAGTAGAAGAATGAGGAAACTAAATTTTATTTTTATTACATATCCAACGATGTTCAGCCAAAGTCCAGCATTTAAAAAGTTTTAGGGTTTTAACGTAGCTATGAATTAGGCTGGCAAGAAATTCTTGAAGATGAATTTTCATATGAAAGATGCAGAACTGTCTGGGAAACAAGACTCATATTTTTAAAGAGCCCCATGCTTTGTAAACAGTATCAGCTATCAACTGGTGCTTTGGGTCAGACCTCATTACTGAGTCCTTACTGCATTCCCCAGGGAATGAGCAAGAGCAAACTCTTCTATGGCAGAACCCAGTGCAGCAGGGAACTCCCTCTATCCCACCCCATCTGCACACTCTATTTTGTATCATTCTCACGGGTACGAGTGACCTGAAAAACATATGGATGAACAAGATCTCATAAGAAGCCTTAACAAAAAAATTCAGATGTTTTTCCTCAGATGATACAGACTTATCTTCTAGGTTGCAGCTGGAGCTTACAATGAAAGAAGCTATTTCTCTAAATCTTAATGACCTAATTATCTGGCAATGTGGACAGAGGATGCTTTTTGTATGGTATTAGTATTTCAATGTTAAAGATGTTTTCTCCTTCAAGGTTTTAAAGGGTGGCTACATGTTGTCTGAAAGATGGTCTGCTTCTTTTGTGTCATTATATCCATTCTGTGTTAATCAAAAATAATCCTTTTTAGCCAGGCATGGTGACTCATGCCTGTAATCTCAGCTACTTGGGAGGATGGAGATCAGAAGGATTGCAGTTTGCAGTCAGCCCAGGCAAAAAGTTAGTGAGGCTTCCTCCCAACCGATAAGCCAGGCATTGTGCTACTTGCCTAGTTACCCAAGTAGTAAAATCTCAGTCCTATGGTGGTCCTGGGTGAAAACATGAGACCCTGTATGAAAAATAAAGCATAAAAAGGGCTGGGGTGTGGGTAGGTAGCACCAGAAAGAGAGTACCTGAAATCAGTTAAATTACTACATGGCCATAACTTGTTCCAGAAGCTGCCATCTTGTGCTATCTTACTTATCTCTGTGCCACTGGTATTTTGAAATATTTGGAATGTTATTCTTATCTCTGCTCTTGGAGCTGTTATCTCTTGTCAGTTAAATGAACACAGAGTTTGTCAACTAATGATCAGCTGGTCTTTTCTACCTCCTGTGTTGCCTAACTTCTGTTTCTCTTTAAACAGGCTGTTTCTCTTTACAGAAAATAAAATACAGATGGATTGGAAACAGCTGTTATCTTGGCAAGTTGCTAGTGCACACTGAGAGATACTGACTCTGTGTTGATACACGGGCAGTTTGCAGCAGCTCCCAAAGGTGTCCACCCAAAGGCCATTGGCCAGGGAGCAGGTAAAGCTGCACCTGTAGGTGAAAGCATTCTGTTTGTGTAAGCGCAGACTTTCTGGTTGGGAAAGAGGTCTGGGGAGTCAGTGCCTGGGTTTTAATCTAGGCCTCTCCATTAAATGACTGGGAGGTATTTAAAAAATGTGCAATGTGCTTAATTCACAAAGGCTCGTTTTCTTCATCTATGAAACAGAGAGTACAACAAGGTCTTCCTAGTTGTGGAGGTAATGAGCAACGGAATGAGATGGAACTTAAAAATTATTAGCACAATGTCTGGCACCTCCTTTGCCCTTAATAAAGTTGGCTTCTGTAAGTCACCACCTCTAGGCAGCGTAAGAGAAAAGGAGAGAACCAATTTGTGAGGGTTTTTAAAAAAAAATTTTTGGTGAAGTATTGGCAGTTGTTGATGTGAGCAGGATGGGAACACACAGCAAACAGGTGACTGTAAGACATGTAGCTGGTGCCGTTGTTCACCATCACCTGATGTGTGGGTAATAGCTGGATGACTTCACTACTGAGAACTATAAAACTGCAATATTTTACCATGATGTGCCTCTGCCAATTAAAGATGACTGCAGAGTTTTTGGCATACTTCCCATTGGGAGTTGGCTGGGTGGGTTCAGCGACTGGTGTGACTGAGGCATATAGCAGAACTGACATTCTGTCAGTTTCCAGAGCTAGTATCCAAGAGACCACAGTTTCTACTTTCCGTCTCTTGCAAGGCTCTCCTCCTAAGACTATTATGCTAGAGGGGCCATAAGTCACTCCAGGTGAAAATCTCAGCATGGTTCAGGTTTCCAGACACCTAGCCAAGGTGCCAGACACATGAGTGGGAGCCTTCTTGGTCCTTCCAGACCAGTGTATCAGTCTGGTGATTACCAGCTGGTGATCCCAGTCAATACGACATGGAACAGAAGAGTCAACCAACTGGGTCTTGCCTGAATTCCAGATCCATGGTACTCTGACTTCTTAATAATATGGTTGTTATTTTATGCTATTAAATTTGGGGAGAATTCATTTTGTAAACATAAAGAAGTGGGGAAGTCAAATGACAATATTCACAAAAGAGTCAAATAATCTCTTCCTATTTGTTTGACAAGACCCAAATCTTGAGAATTCTAGTCAAGAAGTATTTAACAAATTTTGCATTTAGGATGTACTCCATTTACAAGAATGTAAGAATGGTTAAGAAAAACTAAAATGTTGCCTGATCAGAGCATACAGAAAACTCTACTCTCAGTTGGGAGAGCATTAAGGAAGCGATGGAGGCCGGCTAGACTCAGGTGAGGAACTGTGCATGAGTGAAATGTAGGGTTGGTTCGGAAAAGGAAGAGATTCTGGGTTTTCTCTAAGTATTGGTTCCATGGAGAGTAAAGATTCTGACACAGGAAGACCGCCTCTGATCTCTGGACTGAAAGCTATCTTACTTCAGGGATCCTAAAAGGTTTATGCCCCTCTGGGACATAAAGAATGAGAAGATGAAATATGAAATCAGAAATGACTTTGTTGACTGCCATTGACTTTAACCTAGAAGATAAAGATTTTCAAAGTGTTTTAGAGGAAGCAAGAGCAGGTGCTTTAAATAAGATAGTATTAAGTTTTTCCTAAGTAATTTTAGAGCAAGAATAACCTTGAAAAGCCAATTCAAATAAACTCAATTCAGCTGGGTATGGTGGTGCATACCTGAAATCCCAGTACTTGGGAGACTGAGGTAGGAGGATGGCAAGGCCAGGCTGGGCTACATAGTGAGTTCTAGACCAGACTGGCTACATGGTGAGACTGTCTCAAAACACAGACAACAATACCAAACACCTCAATTTAATCCAACAACAACTTGTGTGCCAAAGGATGCACTGTGCCACTAAGGACCCCAGGTGGCATGGAAGCTGTCCATGGTGCTACCTTCATGGAGTTTAGAATTTCTTTTGAAATTACAATGGTGAAGCACATAAAAAAAATTTCTCTTCGTTTGACGGAAATTTGCATCAAGATAATAATGTGCCATTCAAAGCTCTCACTAAATCCTGTAAATTTGTCCTTAATAATCCCCTCTTTGGAGAATGAAATCTACCAGTCCTGTTTTTTCAGAATTCCGTAACACTCCATTTTGCCCTTTCTTTGGATGCACTGCTCACCCCCTCATATCTATAGCACCCCAGTTTTTAGCTTCACCGAGTCATTTTTCCTACTGAGAAGCATATGAAACAATAAAAAAAATCAAGCAATTTTTAAAAGTACTTTGGTAAATTCATTCATTGGCATCCACTTATTCATTAAAAGAAAAAGG